ATAACTGTTTTGATGTGTTCCAGTCAGGCTTTCGTCCAAACCACAGCACTGAGACTGCTCTTGTAAAGGTCTTTAATGACATCCACTTAAACACAGACAGTGGCAGAACTTCAGTGTTAGTATTATTAGATCTCAGTGCTGCGTTTGACACTGTTGACCACAGCATATTACTAGACCGACTGGAAAACTGGGTGGGACTTTCGGAAACAGTTCTGAATTGGTTTGAATCCTACTTAAAGGACAGAAACCACTTTGTTTCTATAGGTAAATACACATCTGAGTTGACAAATATGACATGTGGGGTACCTCAAGGCTCCATCTGGGGCCTCTTCTCTTTAACGTCTACATGCTACCACTGGCTCAGATAATGAAAAACAACAAAATAAGTTACCATAGCTATGCAGATGACACACACATTCACATACCATTTCACCAGGAGACTATGCTCCAATTCTAACACTGAGTAAGTGCATTGAACAAATCAATGACTGGATGTGTCAGAACTTTCTCCAATTAAACAAAGATAAACTGAGGTAATGGTTTTTGGAGCCAAGGCAGAACGTTTAAAAGTTAGCGCTGAGAAATCTAGGTGTAGTCATGGACTCTGACCTGAGTTTCAACAGTCACATTAAAACAGTTACTAAATCAGCCTACTATCACCTAAAGAACATCTAGGATTAAAAGACTAATGTCACAGCAGGATTTGGAAAAACTTGTCCATGCTTTTATCTTCAGTAGACTGGACTACTGCAATGGTGTCTTCACAGGTCTCACTAAAAAATCTATTAGAAAGCTGCAGCTGATTCAGAACGCCGCTGCTCGAGTCCTCACTAACACTAAGAAAGTGATCACTCCTGTTCTGAAGTCTTTACACTGGCTTCCCTGTGTGTCAAAGAATAGATTTCAAAATACTGCTGCTGGTTTATAAAGCACTGAATGGTTTAGGCCCAAAATACATTTCTGACCTCCTGCTAAATTATGAACCATCCAGATCTCTCAGGTCCTTCAGGGACTGGTCAGCTTTCTGTCCCCAGAGTCAGAACTAAACATGGTAAAGCAGCGTTCAGTTATTATGCTCCAAATATCTGGAACAAACTCCCAGAAACCTGCAGGTCCGCTGCAACTCTGACTACTTTTAAATCCAGGCTGAAGACTTTTCTTTTTGCCTCTGCTTTTAATTGAACTATTCACATCTTAGACTGCACTGTAACTTTTATTATCACTGCTTTTAAATGAATGTTTCTAGATATCATTTTATAATATTTTTCTTAAAGCACTTTGAATTGCCTTGTGTTGAAAGGGGCTATATAAATAAAGTTGCCTTGCCTATTATATCTCGGAAGAATATGTATCTGTGATTCTTTGAAGCAGCTCTATTCTGCTCTTTTTCAGCATCATATCAGTATGTAGTGTCTCTACTTTAAAGAGTCCTCTCCTGCTGATGTTCAGGTGTATTTCAGTATGTAGTGTCTCTACTTTAAAGAGTCCTCTCCTGCTGATGTTCAGGTGTATATCAGTATGTAGTGTCCTCTACTTTAAAGAGTCCTCTCCTGCTGATGTTCAGGTGTATATCAGTATGTAGTGTCTCTACTTTAAAGAGTCCTCTCCTGCTGATGTTCAGGTGTATATCAGTATGTAGTGTCTCTACTTTAAAGAGTCCTCTCCTGTTGATGTTCAGGTGTATATCAGTATGTAGTGTCTCTACTTTAAAGAGTCCTCTCCTGCTGATGTTCAGGTGTATATCAGTATGTAATGTCTCTACTTTAAAGAGTCCTCTCCTGCTGATGTTCAGGTGTATATCAGTATGTAGTGTCTCTACTTTAAAGAGTCTTCTCCTGCTGATGTTCAGGTGTATATCAGTATGTAGTGTCTCTACTTTAAAGAGTCCTCTCCTGCTGATGTTCAGGTGTATATGTAATGTCTCTACTTTAAAGAGTCCTCTCCTGCTGATGTTCAGGTGTATATCAGTATAGTGTCTCTGCTTTAAAGAGTCCTCTCCTGCTGATGTTCAGGTGTATATCAGCATGTAGTGTCTCTGCTTTAAAGAGTCCTCTCCTGCTGATGTTCAGGTGTATATCAGTATGTAGTGTCTCTACTTTAAAGAGTCCTCTCCTGCTGATGTTCAGGTGTATATCAGTATGTAGTGTCTCTACTTTAAAGAGTCCTCTCCTGTTGATGTTCAGGTGTATATCAGTATAGTGTCTCTGCTTTAAAGAGTCCTCTCCTGCTGATGTTCAGGTGTGTATCAGCATGTAGTGTCTCTGCTTTAAAGAGTCCTCTCCTGCTGATGTTCAGGTGTATATCAGTATGTAGTGTCTCTACTTTAAAGAGTCCTCTCCTGCTGATGTTCAGGTGTATTTCAGTATGTAGTGTCTCTACTTTAAAGAGTCCTCTCCTGCTGATGTTCAGGTGTATATCAGTATGTAGTGTCTCTACTTTAAAGAGTCCTCTCCTGTTGATGTTCAGGTGTATATCAGTATAGTGTCTCTACTTTAAAGAGTCTTCTCCTGCTGATGTTCAGGTGTATATCAGTATGTAGTGTCTCTACTTTAAAGAGTCCTCTCCTGCTGATGTTCAGGTGTATATCAGTATGTAGTGTCTCTACTTTAAAGAGTCCTCTCCTGCTGATGTTCAGGTGTATTTCAGTATGTAGTGTCTCTACTTTAAAGAGTCCTCTCCTGCTGATGTTCAGGTGTATTTCAGTATGTAGTGTCTCTACTTTAAAGAGTCCTCTCCTGCTGATGTTCAGGTGTATATCAGTATGTAGTGTCTCTACTTTAAAGAGTCCTCTCCTGTTGATGTTCAGGTGTATATCAGTATAGTGTCTCTGATTTAAAGAGTCCTCTCCTGCTGATGTTCAGGTGTGTATCAGCATGTAGTGTCTCTGCTTTAAAGAGTCCTCTCCTGCTGATGTTCAGGTGTATATCAGTATGTAGTGTCTCTACTTTAAAGAGTCCTCTCCTGCTGATGTTCAGGTGTATTTCAGTATGTAGTGTCTCTACTTTAAAGAGTCCTCTCCTGCTGATGTTCAGGTGTATATCAGTATGTAGTGTCTCTACTTTAAAGAGTCCTCTCCTGTTGATGTTCAGGTGTATATCAGTATAGTGTCTCTACTTTAAAGAGTCTTCTCCTGCTGATGTTCAGGTGTATATCAGTATGTAGTGTCTCTACTTTAAAGAGTCCTCTCCTGCTGATGTTCAGGTGTATATCAGTATGTAGTGTCTCTACTTTAAAGAGTCCTCTCCTGCTGATGTTCAGGTGTATTTCAGTATGTAGTGTCTCTACTTTAAAGAGGTCCTCTCACTGCTGATGGTTCAGGTGTATTTCAGTAATGTAGTGTGTCTCATCTACTGTTAAAGAGTCCTCCTCACTGCTGAATGTTTCAGGGTGGTAATATCAGTAATGGAGTGGTCTCTACTTTAAAGATTCCTCTCCTGCGCGATGTTCAGGTGTAATTTCAGTATGTAGTGTCTCTACTTTAAAGAGTCCCCTCCTGTTCGATTCGTGTGTCAGGTGTATATCAGTATGTAGTGTCTCTACTTTAAAGAGTCCTCTCCTGCTGATGTTCAGGTGTATATCAGTATGTAGTGTCTCTACTTAAAGAGTCCTCTCCTGCTGATGTTCAGGTGTATATCAGTATGTAGTGTCTCTACTTTAAAGAGTCCTCTCCTGCTGATGTTCAGGTGTATATCAGTATGTAGTGTCTCTACTTTAAAGAGTCCTCTCCTGCTGATGTTCAGGTGTGTATCAGTATGTAGTGTCTCTACTTTAAAGAGTCCTCTCCTGCTGATGTTCAGGTGTATATCAGTATGTAGTGTCTCTACTTTAAAGAGTCCTCTCCTGCTGATGTTCAGGTGTATATCTATGTAGTGTCCTCACTTAAAGAGTCCTCTCCCTGCTGATGTTCAGGGTGTATATCAGTCTGTAGGTGTCCTCTACTTTAAAGAGTCCTCTCCCTGCTGATGGTTCAGGTGTATATCAGTATGTAGTGTCTCTGCTTTAAAGAGTCCTCTCCTGCTGATGTTCAGGTGTATTTCAGTATGTAGTGGTCTCTACTTAAAGAGTCCTCTCCTGTTGATGTTCAGGTGTATATCAGTATAGTGTCTTACTTTAAAGAGTCCTGTCCTGCTGATGTTCAGGTTATGTCAGTATTGTAGGGTCTCTACTTTTAAAGAGTCCTCTCCTGCTGATGTATCAGGTGTATATCAGTATGTAGTGTCTCTACTTTAAAGAGTCCTCTCCTGCTGATGTTCAGGTGTATTTCAGTATGTAGTGTCTCTACTTTAAAGAGTCCTCTCCTGCTGATGTTCAGGTGTATATCAGTATGTAGTGTCTCTACTTTAAAGAGTCCTCTCCTGCTGATGTTCAGGTGTATATCAGTATGTAGTGTCTTCTACTTTAAAGAGTCCCTCTCCTGCTGATGTTCAGGTGCTATATCAGCATGTAGTGTCTCTACTTTAAAGAGTCCTCTCCTGCTGATGTTCAGGTGTATATCAGTATGTAGTGTCTCTACTTTAAAGAGTCCTCTCCTGCTGATGTTCAGGTGTATATCAGTATGTAGTGTCTCTACTGGGACATGTCTCCGTGCTTTAATGTTCAAAAAGCTCTTTATTTTTCTCATACTGCCTGTGCTGCAGCACCTCTTTTCCCCCTCTGTCTGAAACCAGAGCCCAGTCTGCTCTGATTCCTTAGCTGGCCGGCTCTGTTGTGATTGGTCAGGTCAACGGCTTAGAGATGTCCCGCCCCTTAGCCTATCACATACAATATGATGGAGCCCTAGCCCATAGAAGCGCGAGTGTAACAGTGATGTCGCTATGTTCCAGAAGTGAACAAAGGAGTCCAATGGAGGCAGGGAAGTGTTCTTTTACGAGGGAACACCGGGATTTTAGCCTTTGCAGACCATTTACTTGCACACAAACCTAAAGAACACACTACAGGAGAGGGAGCACCCAGAGAGCATAAAAGGGCCCCTTTAACATAAAACACTGTGTCAAACAAGATGCGTTCACTGTACAATCTTTAATGCCGTTCATTTACGGGACCACAGAGGGACTTCCACAAAGAAAAAGCATTTAAAAAAAGACAAATTAACAAAGAAATATTGAAGACTTTCGCTGTCTATCAAACTGAAATTTCCAAAATAAAGATAAAATATTGTTGTAAAATAAAAAAACAAATGGACGTGAATTACTATCAGTTTCATCATGACATTTATACTTTCGTTTTAAATCTCACTGGCTGCAAAAATTAGTCAACAAGTCAAACTACCAGGGATCATTAACTGATTACTGAACATGCCGTTTTCACATATGGAGACGATCTGCTTTTCTCGTTGGGTTTTGAACGGACAACAAGACATTTCACGACTTTGGAAAACTAGGATGTTTTTGACATTTTATAATCCAATTGATTAATCATTTAAACTGGATAATAATTCGTAATTACCGGCCTATTTAAGACCATTTACCACTGTGCTGTACATTGTTCATTTGGCACATTTAAAAGGCTTGAACAAATTGCGACATATCAAACAATAAATCGAGAAATAATCAACTTCTTAAGTGGTCGATAAGAATCCTTGGTTGCAGCCCTTTTTCACAGAATGCATCAAACTGGTACTTTTTACTATTCCCTGACGTTCATATTAATAAAGAACATAACCTGCAGATTACTTCATAAGGAAGTAGTTGCAGCCAGGACATGACCCAGGACATTTCCCCTGTATTCTCTGATATTAAATTAATCTAGAGAACAACCTGCAGATTAACTGATGGTGAAAATGATCCTGAGTTGCAACCCGTGCAACAAATTGGTACTTGTGAACATTTAAAGCCTTGGAGGAACTGCCAATGACATTTTTCAGTATTTTCTGACATTTATATTTATCTACAAAAGAATGTGCAGATGAATTGACATTGAAAATATTATCTGGTTGCAACCTGTGCAACAAATTGGTCCTTTTGCTCAATTCAAGTCTTGGAGAAACTGGGAATGCACATTTGGCACAATTTGTAGACATATATACTAAAGAACAAATAACCTTTGGATGGATCCGTACTGAAGCAGTCTTTAGATGCTATAGGTTGGTGCTCTTGGTGTCTATGGCCTGTCGGAGTCCGTACAGCCACTTGATGACTCTGGCGTTCTTCTCGATGACAGAAATTCCATAAGGAACTCTTGCTGCGGCGTTCCCAGCCTCCTCCTCTTCCTCCTCCACCTCCTCTTCTTCCTCACCGGCGCACTCGGACCCCGGAGCGCTGACGCTGCGGAACCGAGCCAGGGACACGATGTCGGAGCAGGAGCCGGCGAGCTGCAGGTCGGACGGGTCGACGCCGCACAGGTTGAAGAAACGTTCCATGGAGCAGCGGTCACTCAGGTCCGATTTGGAGCGGGCGAGGGAGCGGCGCTTCCTGGAGCTGGAGGAGGAGAGAAGGGTGACGGCGGGGGAGAGGGAAAGGGAGGGGGGGGGGACGGCAGGGAGGGAGATGGGGAAGGAGGAGGAGGGGTTTTTACCAGCAGGACATTCAGGTTTATATGCAGCGACGACGGGTTTCAGAGGCGAGGCCCGGGGAGTGGTTCTGGTGTGGAAGAGACGCAGGTGGGAGGGGCCTGGGTGGAGGGGAGACTGGGGTTGAAGAGGGAGGGGCTGCAGGGGCTGGAGCATGTAGTGGGGGGGTCTGCAGGCCGGAGGCAGGACGTCCACCCTGCGCACCGTCCCTGCAGCCGGAGGAGAACCAGGATCCTCCATAAGGGTCGATACCAAGGTTTTTAATCTGATTTTAGCCGGACTGGACCAGTCGGGGCGAGGGGGGGGGCACGGACACTCCTTCTGCGGGCCTGCAGGAGGGGGCGAGAGCAGGAGGGGATGGTGAGTTAAAGGAGCAGGGAAATTATGCTTTTAAAATCGTGCAACCAAAAATGAAATGCACTATAAACATTACGTTGCATTGAGCTGACGCTTTTATCCAAAGAGAGTATAAAAAGCTTTAATAAAATAAAAGTGTAAAAGATTATAAAAACAGATAAAAGAAAAGCAAAAAAAGTCAATACATTTTTTAAAAGAAAATTAATTTTTTTTCTTTAAATAAAACAAAAAAAACTCACCTTGTTGTGTTGAGTCAGCGGTTTCAGCGGGCGCCCTCTCCTCACAGTGCGCCCCCCCCTCACTGACACTGATCAGGTTGCTGAGGTGCTGCAGGTCCAGCTGCGGCCCCCCCGGCTTAGTGTTCGTCTTCCTGGTGGGCCTCATCACCGCAGAGCTCATCAGGGGCCCCTTCCTCACCTCCAGGGGCCCGTTCCTCACCTCCAGGGGCCCGTTCTTCATCTCAAGAGGCCCCTTCCTCACCTCCAGGGGCCCGTTCCTCACCTCCAGGGGCCCGTTCCTCACCTCCAGGGGCCCGTTCCTCACCTCCAGGGGCCCGTTCCTCACCTCCAGGGGCCCGTTCTTCATCTCAAGAGGCCCCTTCCTCACCTCCAGGGGCCCGTTCTTCACCTCAAGAGGCCCTTTCCTCAGCTCCAGAGGCCCCTTCCTCAGCACCAGGGGACCCTTCCTCAGCCCAAGAGGCCCGTTCTTTATTTCAAGAGGCCCCTTCCTCACCTCCAGGGGCCCCTTCTTCATCTCCAAGGGCCCGTTCCTCAGCTCCAGGACCTCCAGGGGCCCCTTCCTCTCCTCCAGAGGCTGCTGTTTACTCAGAGCCCCCTGACTCTTCACGTACTTGGCCTTGTCGGCCTCCAGCCTCTCCACGGCGCTCTGCCTCGGCCCCCCCGCCGCCGCCACGGCCCTCAGCTGCCGGTAGAAGTCGGGTCCCACCGGCCCCTTCGGCCTCAGGCGGGGGGGGGGTCCCCGCTAGAGCCGTCCTCTTCGGCTGCTGTTGGAGCGTCTCCAGAGGCATCTTGTTTAAAAGTCCTATCTGTCCTTGAAATAAATCCTGGTTCTGCTGAAGCTGAATGTGTGCGGGCGGATCAGCTGCGCTCCATCTCTGAAGATCTATAATCCTGCATCTCAGAGGAAATCTAGTTCCTGTGGAAAAAAGACACATCAGTCAGGAGGATGTAAATAAAACATTTATCTTAAAGAATACATATCCTGCTGATGTTCAGGTGTATATCAGTATGTAGTGTCTCTACTTTAAAGAGTCCTCTCCTGCTGATGTTCAGGTGTATATCAGTATGTAGTGTCTCTACCTTTAAGAGTCCTCTCCTGCCTGATGTTCAGGTGTATATCAGTATGTAGTGTCTCTACTTTAAAGAGTCCTCTCCTGCTGATGTTTCAGTGGTATATCAGTATGTAGAGTCTCTACTTTAAAGAGTCCTCTCCTGCTGATGTTCAGGTGTATATCAGTCTGTAGTGTCTCTACTTTAAAGAGTCCTCTCCTGCTGATGTTCAGGTGTATATCAGTATGTAGTGTCTCTACTTTTAAAGAAGTTCCTCTCCTGCTGATGTTCAGGTGTATATTCAGTATGTAGTGTCTCTACTTTAAAGAGTCCTCTCTGCTGATGTTTCAGGTGTTATTCAGTATGTAGTGTCTCTACTTTAAAGAGTCCTCTCCTGCTGATGTTCAGGTGTATATCAGTATGTAGTGTCTCTACTTTAAAGAGTCCTCTCCTGCTGATGTTCAGGCTGTATATCAGTATGTAGTGTCTCTACTTTAAAGAGTCCTCTCCTGCTGATGTTCAGGTGTTATCAAGTATGTAGTTGTATCTACTTTAAAGAGTCCTCTCCTGCTGCTGTTCAGGTGTATATCAGTATAATGTCTCTACTTTAAAGAGTCCTCTCCTGCTGATGTTCAGGGTATAGTCAGTATGTATTGCCTCTTACTTTAAAGAGTCCTCTCCTGCTGATGTTCATGGTGTATATCAGTATGTAGTGTCTCTACTTTAAAGAGTCCTCTCCTACTGATGTTCAGGTGTATATCAGTATGTAGTGTCTCTACTTTAAAGAGTCCTCTCCTGCTGATGTTCAGGTGTATATCAGTATGTAGTGTCTCTACTTTAAAGAGTCCTCTCCCTGCTGATGTTCAGGTGTATATCAGTATGTAGTGTCTCTACTTTAAAGAGTCCTCTCCTGCTGATGTTCAGGTGTATATCAGTATGTAGTGTCTCTACTTTAAAGAGTCCTCTCCTGCTGATGTTCAGGTGTATATCAGTATGTAGTGTCTCTACTTTAAAGAGTCCTCTCCTTCTGATGTTCAGGTGTATATCAGTATGTAGTGTCTCTACTTTAAAGAGTCCTCTCCTGCTGATGTTCAGGTGTATATCAGTATGTAGTGTCTCTACATGTCTCCATGCTTTAATGTTCAAAAAGCTCTTTATTTTTCTCATACTGTCTGTGCTGCAGCACCTCTTTTCACCCTCCGTCTGAAACCAGAGCCCAGTCTGCTCTGATTGGTCAACCACTTAGAGATGTCCCGCCCCTTAGACTATCACGTACAATATGTTGCACGGCTAGCCAATAGAAGCACTGGTGTAACATTCTGATGTTCCGGAAGTAAACAAAGGAGAAATAAAGGGCTTTTCGAAGGCTAAAATTGAGATTTTAGCCTTTGCAGACCATTTACATGCACCAAAACCTAAACAACCCACTACAGGAAAGGGAAAACCCAATCGGGCCTCTTCAAGTATGTCCCAATAACTAGAACTGCATGTCAAAAGCAGTACGCAAAAAACCCAGGACGTTCCACTGCAACCGGCCACATTCAAACTCTGCAGAACATATACTTCTCTGGCCGTGCTGACCCACGACCAGCGGGTATATGAGCAAGTGGCTCAAAGTTCAAGTACGCCTAAATTGTATGCATACTGCGTACTGCATACAACAGTGTGTACTTTGCGAGGGCTGCTGCAATACAAGGAGTGGTTTTGAACGCAGCCTACAAATGGATGTTACTTCACTATATACTTTTTAAACTCATCAGGTACAAAAGCTCAATTGAAGTCATTTTAACTGAGGTTTTTTTTCTCGCAATCATAATGCAGTTATAATCCTCTTGGTTCAAAATACAGATACAAAAGGGCAGTTTATGTTGAGCACGTCACCAAATATTACTGCGTAGAATATGTTGTTAAGGCAAAATAAACTAGCAAATGTTAGCAATAGCAACCAGCTAGCATAGTGCTAATTAGGAAGTCCTCTCTTAAGAACAGCTGGGAGTTTGTAATCACGTTAGGAGCATTTCAGACAGGTTTCTACCGGTGGAAAGGACACTGGTTTGAAGTAAGGACACCTGATCAAGGCTTTTAGGTAAATAACATGCATTGTTTGATATTTTATTGACGCTCAGACATGTCCAGGCATTTTGTGCAGATTGTCGATGATATAAAAAGACATTCCTGACTTGTTTATAGAGGAGGGAAAAATCATTCTGCGTTACAAACCTTTAGAGGAAACATGCATTGTTTGCATTGACATGATCAGGAGCTTGAAGTAAACAGTGTTATACTTCGTTTAACTCTCTGTATAAAACAAACCCACTGTCTCCATATAGGAACATTTAAAAACGACTTCCTGTTCAAAGACAATGCTACGTTTCTGCTAATCCCAGATAGCTAGAAGCAAACACACAGAGACAAACACACACGGCCATAAACACTGCGTATGACATGCACACACAGACTTATACACATCATGCACTTATTGACTTCAATGTGCTCTTATTTACTTGGGCAACACATGTAAATATAATCTGATTGTATCATGTCTGAGAATGTCAAAAGTAAAAACACTTCTGATGCAGTTTTAATGACAATGTTGTAAATAAAAGTCTCTGCTGGGACAGAGGTGGAACATTATCCATGTCTAGAAACTGTCATTATAACCTTTTACAGCGTTTCAAAAAGTGTAAATTCAGACGTGCATTAGCTCTCAATAGTCCACACGTTATTTCACATTCTCTCTGACTAAAGTAATGAATAAATACAATGTGCGTACCAAAGAGAAGGGTCCCATGAGACTCTTTAAAACACCTTTAACACTAACAGCAAACACCTCCACCCAAACACCCTGCAGCCAATCAGCTGCTCTCAAACAATTACTCTCCATCATACACACACAAAGAGTAACACAGCAGGCAGGAGAAGGCACAAGTGTGTGTGTGTGTGTTGAGGAGGTGTTTCTGGACAGCTGTCAACAAGCTATTGTGTATCGTCTAGAGCAGGGGTTCCCAACCTATCGGAGTGACTTTGATGGTTGTTGGACTCAGGATTCATTCATTTGGATTCCCCGCTGAATGAAGAAATTAAAGGACGGTGCAGAAGTGGAAACAATTCACAAAGGGATTAAACTGTTGCTCAAAGTAAGCCGGATTTTGCCGATGTGTTTATGTGGATTCAAAAGTCGTAAATAATCTACAAAATGGAGGAGAGCGATCTGATCGGAGAAACTGACAAATAATCCAACTGAAACCGGCATGGACAACGACTATGTTTTAAACATGCGCTTATTTAGACAAGCCTGGTTTGGACACTTTACGGGCAGAAGAAACATTTCTATTAAACAAAGAATTATACATTTCTGTAGTTAGTATGCCTTTAGCTACTAACTTGAATTGTTATTCAAATTAAATAAGCAATTATTTTGTATATGTTATTGTAATGTAGAGACGAGGCTTTTAGTGACAATCATGTATTGCTTTACAATTATATGTAACAAAAAGAGTCTAAATATGATATTTGGCCTCAAGTCATCTGAGGCCTGGCACCCCTCCACACACACACCACACACACACACACACACACACACACACACACACACACACACACACACACACACACACACACACACACACACACACACACACACACACACACACACACACACACACACCAGCTTCTTCCTGAACTACAATCACAATAAAGTAACTAAGTACATTTACTAAAGTACTTTAAGCTACTTAATTAAACATTTGAGGAACTTGTATTTGAGTATTTCCATGTTATGCTTCCCTATGTTACGTCTACTCCACTCAAATTTGTAGGCAAATGTATATTTGACTTCAGCACATTTATTCGACAACAATGGTTACTTTGCAGGATCCAATTATTCATTTCAAAATGTATATATATATATATATATAAATATATAAATAAAAACTCGATGGATTACTATACCCGAAAGTTAAAGTTAGATCCTATACTGAATTACAAAATAAAAAAGATGAACAATTATATATATATATATATATATATATATATATATAGATAACTGTGAAATGGGCCCTGTGAATAATAAGTACATTTACATTTCAATATGTTTTAACCAAATACATCAATATCAATGTAATTTTTAAGTACTGTGATTAAAGGCAATAATAAGATTGCCTTTGGTACATTCAGAAAAGGACACCAGTTTCCTGTAATGCAGGTTCTAAAACCAGGAAGGTACTAATGCAATAATACAATATCAGAACATGTGAGACGATAAATACCATGTGACAATATCGATATAGAATATATATACTGTCCAGCTGTTATTTAGGTACACTTAGGTTTACTTTTACTTCAAATAAATGCAGTACTTTTACTCATAACAAAGTATTTCCACACTGCTGTATTACTATTTCAATTCCTAGAAATCTAAGGACGTCCTCCCCCTCTTTCTAAAGTCACAACGACCAAGTTCAGCTAGGCATTCCTCTTTGAAATGCGAAGGTCGCCACGATGAACTTGATTTGAAAGTGTGTGTTTTAATGTCTGTGAGTGTGTGTGTGTGTGTGTGTGTGTGTGTGTGTGTGTGTGTGTGTGTGTGTGTGTGTGTGTTAGAAAAAGTCAGCATATGTCACATTCTCCACATATTTCCCATTCCAGTCTGAGCCAAACTCTTGCTGATAGAGACTCTCCTTATACCTGCCCTCAAGTCTCACACACGTACACGTACACACACACACACACACACACACACACACACACACACACACACACACACACACACACACACACGTAGGCCTACACACACTGAACCAGCACTGTGATATATATATAATTAAAAGTAACAACAGGCTAAAAAAAGGTGAGTCACACAACACAAACACAGCCTCTAATTAGTTTCTTAACGTTTCTGTGCCAGCATGTCCTGCCTTTCAGAGTAAATGACAAACATGGAGGCAGAAACACAAAAGGAAGCAGGTAAACAACCAAAGAAAAGTCCTAATTGCACTTGAACGCCTCACCTGGCCTGCCCTGACACGCCTGCCTGTCTAAAGGTGTGCTAGCTGATTTATCTTGAACGTTTAGTCACAAAAACTCGCCTTTTTCAGCCCCGTGGATCCTTCTTGTTGTAGAACACACTGTGCTGCCCGGCGTTGGAGTGTGTTTGAATGTGTGTGAGGGGACTCTCAGCTCAAGACAAACCTGTTTGACTCATGCGTTTCTCCGAAGCTCCGCCCCCCGCCCTCTGATTGGTCCGTTCACTCTCCTACAAGGAGATAACCTGCTTCTGGTCACATGACTTTGTTCCTGCTGATAACACTTCCAGGGTTCAGAGGTCACCTGCATGTTTATGACTAAATAAATATGGCACCATGATAAAAAATAACATGATAAATAAGAAAGCAGTGAGGACAAACAGTGTATTTCATTGTGTACAAGTATATATTTATATATATTTTAGTTCTTTCTAGCCCAAGAACTACAGCAATATGGCCGTATGATAATGTTTATGTACCCTGGTATGAAGAGTTGTGTGTGTATATAATGATGTGAGATATATTATCTTTACAACTATAAAAATATAGTATGAATATGAAGCAAAAATAACCAATTTTGATTAATAGATGTTAATTTGTAAAACCCTTTCTAAGTATTTCCTCTCCTTTTCTAACTCTATTCACCTAAACCTGAAACTGTGTATATATAAGATGTATTTCTTGTGAATGTATGACTACAAATCTAAGACATTTTCTATGTTTTCTCTTAAATGTCGTACTTTCTCAGATATTTTTGGATGTACTTTTTGTACATTATTTTTTCTCATAAATGTATGAAAAAATGTCATTGTCTTCTGGAGATGTATATTTGTGATCTCAGAGAATAGATACGTTTCTTGTACATTTGCCTTAATAATACATATGAAGCTCAGCGCAAGTTCAACCAGGAAGACCATTCATTTATTATGTCCATGTAACTACTCTCTCTACTCTCAATAAGTGATCGGGGGCGTCACTCCCCAGTTTAACCAATCACTTCGCTCTATTCTCACAAGCGAGCCTATCATAGCGCTCCGCTAACCCTTTTAAATCTGCTCTCCCCTCTGACAGCTGTCATTTCAGGTGACTCGATGCAACCTTCCTCCCCCCCTTTCACCTCCTGTCCCTCTGAGTCCAGGCTCAAGCTAAGCCCCACCCCTTCAGACCTAACCCAACCATCCATTCACCACCACCAGGGTCAAGCTAAGCCCCTCCCCTTCAGACCTAACCCAACTATCCATTCACCACCACCAGGGTCTAGACCCCGGGGGGTTTCATCGGATCAGTTCTCCCCTCCCGAATGATACTCCCGCACAACGGGGCCTACTCGCCAAAACTCCATTACATTCATTGTGTATTCCTGGCAATAAATATGTATTCTCACATCAAAACCGTCTCTCCTGATTGAAACACACACACACACACACACACACACACACACACACACACACACACACACACACACACACACACACACACACACACACACACCACACACACACACACACACACACACACACACACACACACACACACACACACACACACACACACACACACACACACACACACACACACACACACACACACACACACACACACACACACACACACACACACACACAACACACACACACACAACACACACACACACACACACAGAGCTATTGTATGGTTTTTTATTCTGAAGGGTTTTCAAAAATCTAATCTCAGGTCAAAATGACAAATACATCCTAAATAACGCCACTCTTCCAGTTAATAAAAAACTTTGACTTATCAATTGTTGCTTCAGCTAACAATTATTTTCTTATTAGTAGTTTGGTGTACAGCAGCGGTTTTCAAAGTGTGAGGCGCGCCTCCCCAGGGGGGGGGGGGGGGGGGGGGGGGGGGGGGGCGCCAGAGAGCTTCAGGGGAGGCGCAGCGAGAGAAAAAATAACGAGAAACAGTGAAATCTAGTTCACTTCAGCCAACGTTATGTGAGCGGCAACATGGATTTTTTAGTGACGTTAGAGTGAGACAGCGTTTTCTCTAACTGGACCGCGTTGAAATGCAATTGAATATCCCTGCATTATAGCAACAACAACAATAATAGCAATAATTAGGAGGGGGGGCGCGGCTGTTCTTATGTTCTCTGAGGGGAGACTCACCTTCCCACACTTTGAAAACCCCTGCAGAATATCAGATTGTATTACATGGTTTAGTTGAATACTCGATTCTGACTGGTCAATTCAGAACATGTGACACGTTGTTGTTAATCCAGAACAGACAGACAGCGGTCAAGCACTTATTGCCCGTTGTTAAGGACGCTCACATCTGCACAAAGAAGTCCGGTCGATTGAACTGTATACAGTTTGGCCGAAAAGCAAACTGCATGCTTGGCGCCGGGCTCCTGATCCGCCTGTCGGGTGTTCTTTTACCCAATGACCGCCTCGCTGCACATTATCCCTTACTTAGTGAAAGGATGTCCATTCCAGTTTCTCAAAGTCCAAGTTAAATATATTTTTTGGTCCCGAACTAGAACAAGATGTTGACTTGAAAAGCATGATCTGTAACTGCAAAGGTCTTGTTTGTAAATTATGTGTTAAATGTGGAATAAATTACACAACAAACAATTTAGACACATTTAATATCACCATAAAGTTGTCTCACAATCATAGACACAGATTAATTATCTGGTCTTATAACCAGAAATAAAACCGACACCAAGGTTATAAAAATAAGTGTTTTTTTCAATATAAGACGTATACAAACGCTGCAGTGTTTTATCTGGACTTGAACGGCACACACAAACCTCAGGAGCTCACTTTAAATCTCCTTTGTGTGAAACTCCATCCCATAATATTTGGCCATTTAGTGTTCAAAGCTGTCATTTTACAGTCATATATATAAAAGTAGCACATAAGAGCACAGAGAAGTGGTTACAGTTGGGATAAAAAACAAGATATATTTCATATTTCTTTGATGGAGGAGCGAGTTTGCATAATGTCCACCCCTCTCTTACTAATTCAAACGTTTCCAATAGTCATCACTTTTCACAGGTTTCATACACTTGTATACACTGAAGGTGAACCATGCAGAGTCGACACTGTGACGGCGCGTATAGAAACTTCATAATGAAATGACAGAAACGCAAAACTCATATTCATCAGAATTTCTTCGATTCAAATCTCACATGTGAGTTAAAATGGTTTCTCTATTACTATTTCCATGTCACTACTCTCTCTCCTCTCAATAAGTGATCGGGGGCGTCACTCCCCAGCTTAACCAATCACTTCGCTCTATCTCACAAGCCTATCATAGCGCTCTGCTAACCCTTTTTAAATCTGCTCTCCCCTCTGACAGCTGTCATTTCAGGTGACTCGACGCAACCCTCCTCCCCCCCTTTCACCTCCTGTCCCTCTGAGTCCAGGGTTAAGCTAAGCCCCTCCCCTTCAGACCTAACCCAACTATCCATTCACCACCATCAGTGTCTAGACCCCGGGGGGTTTCATCGGATCGGTTCTCCCCTCCCGAATGATACTCCCGCACAACGGGGCCTACTCGCCAAAACTCCATTCCGTTCCTTTGTGTATTCCTGGCAATTAATATGTACTCTTACATCAAAACCGTCTCCTGATTGAAGCGGCAATGTGACGAGAAGTGGATCAAACCTTGCTAAGGAAAGCCAAAAGAATGTTTATCCAAATGTCTCGGATATTCTTCGGGGACATTTCTGATTTTAAATAACATTTCTAACTTCAAATCTCAGATATTTCAGATTTCTCTTCTCGTAAATGTATGACTTGAGTTCTCAAATATTCGTTTTTTTTGGTCTTATAACTTAAATTCTTACATAGATTCAGAATTTTCTTTTCATAAATGTATTACTTCAAATCTCAAGTATGTCATATTTTTTCTCGTACATTTCTGGTTCTCGTATATTTGTGTCTGAATAATCGTGACAAATATTAGATATTTCTCAGAAATGTTGAGTATTTTCTTGGATTATTCCGCCTCCCTGACTCCATTTTGTATCGCTTTTCACCTACACTGACCCTAATACGCCATTATGTGATTCTGTTAAATGAAAGGCCTCGACTCGCCCGAGGTGTATTGTGCTTCCTCTTGATAAGTAGTGTGTGTGACCACCTTTGTTATTAAAGTCTGCAGGTCTTGTATCATCATGAACCGTCTGAATGCCAGAGTGATGAGAGGCTTCAGTTCTCTCTGCACCATCATTTAACTTTGGTGTGACGTTAGATAGATCCTGTATTGATCCCAAATTAGGAAATGATGTAAGTGTATGGTCTGTGAATGATGGAAGTGTATGGTCTGTGAATGATTTGAGTGTATGGTCTGTGAATGATGGAAGTGTATGGTCTGTGAATGATGGAAGTGTATGGTCTGTGAATGATGGAAGTGTATGGTCTGTGAATGATGGAAGTGTATGGTCTGTGAATGATGGAAGTGTATGGTCTGTGAATGATGGAAGTGTATGGTCTGTGAATGATGGAAGTGTATGGTCTGTGAATGATGGAAGTGTATGGTCTGTGAATGATGGAAGTGTATGGTCTGTGAATGATGGAAGTGTATGGTCTGTGAATGATAAAAATAATAGCTTGGATTTATATAGCGCCTTTCATGGGACCCAAGGTCGCTTTACAAGGAAGAACAGGGCAAACCAAACATAACAAAAGAAAAGGCAGTCAGACAAAAACAACAACTAGATTAGGGGCCAAAGGCCTTGGTGAACAGATGGGTCTTGAGGGCCCTTTTGAAGGCGTCAAGCGCGGCGATGTTGCAGATCTCTGCAGGGAGAGCGTTCCAGAGGGTGGGGGCTGCCACGCTGAAGGCTCTGTCCCCGAAGGTTCGCAGTTTGGTGCGGGGGGGTGGTAAACAGGCCAGAGTCTGAAGACCGCAGGTTCTGGGGTGGGGCATGTGGGTGAAGGATGTCCGATAGGTACTGGAGGGCATGGGCATGGAGGGACTTGTAGGTAAGGAGGAGGATTTTGTAGGATATGCGGGACTTGACCGGCAACCAGTGTAGGTGGATGAGGGTGGGAGTGATGTGCCACGGCTTTGTATTGGTGAGTAACCTAGCAGCACAGTTTTGGACATACTGGAGCCTGTAAGGGGTTTTGTTGGGAACCCCGAACAGGACACCATTGCAGTAGTCCAAGCGGGAGGTGACAAACGCATGGACTAGGATTTCGGCAACCGACTCCGAGAGTGACGGTCGGTTTCTTGCAATGTTCCTTAGATGGAAAAAGGCTGATTTGTCACAGACTTGACGTGGGAGTGGAAGGAGAGGGTGGAGTCGAGGATGACACCCAGGTTGCGGGCTTCAGGAGATGGGGAGATGGAGCAGCCGTCAACCTCGAGGATGAAGTCACCAACCTTCTGGAGCAGCGCCTTGGGTCCCACAACCATGAGCTCTGTTTTATTGCTGTTTAGCTTAAGATAGTTGGAAGACATCCATGCTTTGATGTCATGCAGGCAGTTGATGAGCGACTGAGGGGGGGAGCAGGGAGGATGGAGTGGTGCTGAGATACAGTTGGGTATCATCAGCGTAGCAGTGGAAATTGAGTCCATGATGTCGGATGATCTGGCCGAGGGGAAGCATGTAAATGGTGAACAGGAGGGGGCCAAGCACAGAGCCCTGGGGTACACCGTGGTGGACTGGGGCCGGGGGTGAGTTTGAGCCACTGATGGAGACAAACTGTTTCCTGCTATGGAGGTAGGATGTGAACCAAGACAGCGCTGTGCCAGTGACACCTAGGAGGTCTGAGAGGCGGGTCAGGAGGATGTTGTGAGAGACGCTGCAGAGAGGTCCAGGAGGATGAGGATGCTGAGGCGGCCAGAGTCAGCAGCAATGAGGAGATCGTTGGTGATCTTGATGAGGGCGGTCTCAGTGCTGTGTTGCTGTCTGAAGCCGGATTGGAAGGGCTCATAGAGCTCATGGTCGGACATATATATATATATATATATATATGATGGAAGTGTATGGTCTGGGAATGATGTGAGTGTATGGTCTGGGAATGATGTGAGTGTATGGTCTGTGAATGATTTAAGTGTATGGTCTGTGAATGATTTAAGTGTATGGTCTGTGAATGATGTAAGTGTATGGTCTGTGAATGATGTAAGTGTATGGTCTGTGGTTGTGAGATCTGTGACGTTAGGAGATGGCACAGTTTTTATCTTTGTCTTTAGCTCCGAGGCTGTGAGCTCTCCTCCTCCTGAAGCTTCCTCTCAGCCCCCCCCCCCTCTGAACCTCCCTCCCCTCCCTCTCCCCCCCCCTCCTCTCGCCCACTATACTCCTCTTCGGGGGGTTGTTTTCGGAGCTGGGGGGGTAGAGGGATGGGTTTCCCCAGGAAGAAGCCCTCCTCCTCGGAGTCTGAGGAGGAGGAGGAGCAGGTGGAGCAGTCCTCGTGTTTGTAGTGTCTCGACTGCAGGGTGAGAGAGGAGGAGTTCCTTCTCTCGCCCCTCTCTCTCTCCCCTCTCTCACCCCTCCAGTCCAGGACTTCGAGGCGGGGTCGTTCGGAGGATCGAGGGCGTCGGGGCCGTTGCTCTGACCTGGGGTGGATGTCGGGGTCCGAGGGAACACGAGTCCGGCTCCAGCCCCGCCGCTGACTGCGCTGGTGATACGACGATCCATCTGAGAGGAAGAGAAAATGTGAAAAAAAATCCATTAAGTTAATAAATATTTATTTTATAATGCACTTTCACTGAGATAAATGTTTTACCATTGTCAGTTCTGATCATCACTTCATTTTCAGAATTATAATCCATTAAAACGTCCAAAACCCAAATATATTCTCTCTCTTTTTTGTTTTTTCTAAAAAATGTACAGCCTGAAAACAGCATTTAAATAACGAAAATGTAGTCAACTAATTGTCGAGACCTACGAAAGTCTGATCTACTTCCATCAACATTTACATCGCCAAATATCACACATTTTTACAATTGCTTCAGTGCTTAAAATAAAAGCAAGAGGTAATTTCCGCTTGGTCAGAATGAAAGTTCTTTTTACACATTTTCAGGATTTTTAAGAAAGTATCAAAAATATATATTAATTATTTTCTTAATACAAGAAGGATTTTACATGTAATATAAGTTCTTATTTTATAGCATGTAGGATAAAAAAGACTCCTACTTGTTACCTAAAATAAATAAAAATATATAAAATAATAATAAATAGAGCGTCCTAAAACCAGGAAGTGAGTCAGCATTTCACCACTTCCTGTTCCCTCGTCTCAGAGCCAATGGGATCTCTCCATAGGATTTAGGAAACTATCTGGAACTAAGCTCTGTGTTTGACACAAATTGAAGAGACGGATCACGTTTTGTTCTACGACATTAAATCCATCAGCAGTGACCCCACTGGTGATTTCTGAAGAGTTGACGTGTCTGAGAAACGATGGTTGTTACCAAGTGGCTGAACAGGACTACAGAAGTCGTGGAGGCCGTGTTACGTCATTACGCCGAACACGTAAACACTCCTCTAAGTTAGTCCCTGTTCTGCTTGAAAGCAAGTTCCTGCCTCCTGCTAACTGTTCAAACAAACGCTTCAACTCGTACCATTTAGAGTCTGTGTGTTTTTTCAATATGGATCTGAAGTTGGCGTGACGTTGAAGCAGCGACCCTGCTGTAGCTCCTTTATAGCATAACGTTAGCATTTTGCTTCTGGCGACTAGATTTATGATTAGAAAATTATAAAAGTAGACATGTGGAGATTATCCGGCTGAACAAAACGTGATCCATCTCTTAAATGTGTCTCAACCACAGACCTTATTTCCAGCTGTTTTCCTAAATCTTATGGAGAAATAGCTTTGCTTTTTGTGGAAGGAACCGGAAGGAGTTTACTTCCGGGTTTTAGGACGCGTCACTGCGGCACTCTATCCTAAACCTGCTACAAAACACTATAAAATACTGTCTAACACGGATACTTTTCACTTAGTTATTTCTTACTAACCAACTATATATAAGTGCTGATAGCAAACAGTATTAAATGCTGTTATGCCCATGGGATAAACATTTTTTGTTTCAACAGGGACATTTTTTCCTTAATAGCGTGACTGTCAGTGTTTCTGATACACACTTTATTACAGGAACAAGACTCCCAAATAATATGTAAAGTCATATTTAGCTTTTAGGATCCTTGCTGTTCTGAGTTTGTCTTGCTGAACTTTTTATAAGTAACTTTGAATAAAACCATCAGTTTAATCATTTATTTTAGCGGTTCCTCTCACCCAGCAGATCCATCTGAGGGGGGATTCCCTTCTGCAGATGCAGCCGGCTCCCGAAGCCCCCCCCTCCTCCTCTTCCTCCTGCTGCTCCTCCTCTTCCTCCCTCAGATCCTCCACCTCCTCATCTACCCCCTCCTCTACCTCCTCAGAATAGCTGCTGCTGATTGGCTCCCTGAAGCTGACCCTGGCTGTGCCGCTGCGGGACAGAGGAGGGGGGGGCAGTCTGAGGGGGTGTCCTCCAGCGGTGGGGGGGGCAGGAGAGGGGGGGGAGAGGGGGAGTCCCGGGGCATCAATTCATGTGACTTCAACGGGAGAGGAGGGGGGAGGACGGAGGAAGGGTCGGGGGGGGAGGTCAGGTGACCGTTCTTCTGAGGAGGAAACACTGCAGAGAGAAAGTGAAGTCACGTTATTTCCCTCCCTCTTTCTTAAAGTCCAAAGGGAGGTCTCCATCCATCCATCCATCTCTCCATCCATCTATCCATCCATCCATCTCCATCCTCTATCCATCCTCCATCCATCTATCTCTCC